ACTCACCGTCGATTCTTGCCGATCGCAGGTGCAGGGGGCTATAGCCGCACATCTTGCGCAGTCGAGGTGCTGCTCTTTCGATGACCGAGTTCAGGGTTTAGGGGTTAAGTATTGGGGGTTTTGGGTTTAGGTATTATAGGGCTTGGGCCTCAGAGCTGAACTTTGTGGGGTCATAGCATTACGAGTTTGATTAGGGTTTGGGGTTTAGATTTTAGGACTTAGCTAGCTAGGGTTAATTAGGGTCAAGCCGGGTTCAGGGTGTAGGCTTTATTTCCAGGTCCTAGGGCTATCAGCTGCAGGATTTGCTGGCCTGAGCGGGGCTTCTTGGGATCCTCAAGGAGCAACCGCGCGGGCAGTAAAGGACTCTCATTTTCTAAGCCTTAAACCCTAAACCGGAGAACCTGCCTGCTTGCCTGTTTAGATAGGTCGGTGGTTGAGAAGGGATTTCTCGCTCGCTGACTTCACAGCTTGTTTAGTTTGAAAAGGCCTGACAGCCTGAATCAGGTCTGGCACGAGACTTCGAGCCATGGGCTGGTAGAGATCACGAAGGCTTCGAACCCAGACCTTCCAAAATCCCTTAATTAAGGAATATACCTGAATTCATAGTAGGATCCCTAATATGGTTAAAGGTATATTCCTTAATTAAGGGATTTTGGAAGGTCTGGGAAGAAAGCCTACATCCTGACAAAGCCAGCGGCAACAAAGAGAAGTCGCTCGTGAATGCGCACGTGAAGACGGGCGAAAGGCATGCAAAATCATGGCAATCCTGTTAGAGAAGCTGCATGCCAAAGAGGTTGACAAGGAAACGCTTCTCAAGTTTAAGACGTGGCTGATGATGCCCGCCAACCGATCAGGCAAGCGCGAGTCGAAATCGAGACGTGGCAAGCGCTGATGGTGTGCGACTGAGTGCAAGCGGCGATTTGTGGCGGATGAAATCAAGCTCCTTAAAAGACTTTGCAAATCATGTTTGTTCTTCTAGCTCAGATTAGTTTAGTCCTTGGTTTATACCGCCGCTTGACAGTCGAACTTGCAAACAAAACCGTGCTACACACAACCCAACATGCCAGTTTAGACTTACCGGGCTGGTAAAGAGCCAAAATCCCAACACGAAAATCAGCAGGCCGTCATGCAAAAGAGCATTCAGCCATCCAATGCTGCACAAAGCGCCTATATAAGACCTATAACTATAACACTCTTATGAGCACCCCGTAACAACACATGAAGCCCATACAGACCCTACACAACCACAAGGTCCCAATACTACAATTTGCTAGTCTCTACAAGTACTCACCGATGCTCGCAGAAATCCAAATCATAAAGTGGGCTCTGATGGGAAACCGGTCATCAAAAACATCTAACTAGTTTTCACGAGTGAGGGCCCATGTACCCAAATAGTATTAATTATAGTATATACTTCGGCCTTTAAGTAGCCCCCATAGGGGCCAAAGTATATACTATTTGGGTACATGGACCCTTAAACGGTACCCTTACAGAACCCTTAAAAGCACCCCCCCCCCCCCCCTTAAAGGAACCCTATTTGGCTACATGGACCCTTAGGGAGACGGAGGCCGCGGTCGGCTGGCGTCAATCTGCTCCGGCTCTGCCGTGGCAAGGGGGCCACCGGGGCCTTGGCCGCCGGCTGCCTCAGGCGTGTTTTGGGGTTTAGGGTTTTAGGGTTTAGGGGTTTAGTCTTTTCGTATTTCTACGACCTCCCAACTACCCTCTAATATACCCCAAATACCCACTATTCAGGGCCATAAAGGGCTCTACCAAAGGAACCCTGGTACTATCGGTGTCTGAATTAAGGACAGTATCGCCGGATAGGCCTTATATGTCGAAATATCAGGGCCGCCCATATTGCGCCCAGGCGAACGAAAGGGTTTCGCAGGGTCGCGGAGGAGGTTACAGTCAGTAGTGTTGCCTGGTGGGGCGAGGACTCCTCAATATGGCATTGTACAAAGCTCCCTCCAAAGCAAAACAACCCTGGTCTCATCATTCAGGCTTTCATATTACAGAAGCAGGGGGCTTGAGAGTTTGAGAGCTACGGCGTATCCTTCAGGTGATGCTGAAAGGTCCTACTTCGACATCAGTTCATGCCAGTTCCAGCGGTGAGGAGTTGCGAGTGTGGTAGTAGGCGGGCAGGCCCTTTATGGTTCACCTTAAACCTTAAACTACCAAACCCTACTTTTCTGTAGGTTCTTATTATAAACCCTAATATGGAATTTATAGGGACTCTACAAAAAAGTAGGTTTCGGTAGGTCTTGGAGGATCATGGGACTTAGTAAGTATGGCTATAATTACCTTAATTGGGGTTATAAGTAGTTATAAGTATAGTTGCCTTAATGGTAACTCTGGTTACTAAGTCCCATGATCCTCCAAATACGGTTCAGGTTGCTTTGGGGATTACATTTGCTTGGCTTAAGGATTCATGAACCCAAAGGGTCCTATGTGCCTGTATAGTAGAATGTCGGGTTTCTATATTAGGAACTACTATTATGATTTGGGGAAGTATCCCCCATAACAGTACCTAGGACCCTTTGGGGAAGCCCTAAAGCCGAAGCCACCTAAACGCCTATATCGGGTGCGGCCTTCAAGGGTTCAGGGTTTAGGGTTTAGGGTTTAGGGTTTAGGGTTTAGGGTTTAGGATTTAGGGTTTAGGGTTTAGGGTTTAGGATTTAGGGTTTAGGGTTTAGGGTTTAGGGTTTAGGATTTAGGGTTTAGGGTTTAGGGTTTAGGATTTAGGGTTTAGGGTTTAGGGTTTAGGGTTTAGGATTTAGGGTTTAGGGTTTAGGGTTTAGGGATCGCGCTTTGGAGGTTCATGGTTGGCAGTCAGGGTAGGGTTTGCGCGGTTCTGGGGTCAACAGACTCAGTTTTAGTTTTCGGAATTGGAGGCTCTGTGTTTTTGCTGGGGTTTAGGGCGCAGCCCAAAAGCCTATGCCAGCCCTAAACCTCCAAACCTTGCACGCTAAACCCCTAACCACAAACCCCAAACGCTAAACTCACAATCTCCAGGTTGGCCTCAGCCGTGTCGTCTGCACCTGCGGGCGCTGCTCCTGCTACAGGGCCAGCGGCTGAGAAACATCTAATGTCATAGTGCCGTAGCCGTAGAGTTTGTAGTTGTAAGGTTGAGGGTATGGGTTTGGGGTCGGTGGGGTTTGGAGTTTAGGGCCTTTCAGTTTATTCGGGTTTCGGGTTGTTGTCTTTCATGTTTCGGAGGATGCAGCTCTTCATTTTTGGTTCCGGTATGACAGCCTCATGGATATACTGTTGATGATACAAATCCTGCATTACCCACAATAAGGAACATACCATAATTCCCATAGTTCAGGGTCCTTCAGGTCATGCAGGATCATCCCTAAGCCCCCTATAGATCCGTTAAAGGATCCCTAAAGGTACCCTTATGGATCCCTTTAAAGGAAGCCCAGGATTTATATCATCAACCGTAGTGAACCTAAAGAAAAGGCGCCTCGGTGGCCGTTGAGGTGGGCTTGATCTAAACATGTTCCCTCCTCTTCTTCTAGGTCCGAAGAGCCCACGACGTAAGCAGGGGGTTTAGGGGTTTAGGGTTTAGGGTGCTCGGATCCTAGATTTGAGTACATCCGCAGCCTCATTTCCTCCATTTGGCTTTTCATGCCCCGCGACCAGACCGTGCTGTGCAACGCAGCATGCATTGCAACGCAGCATGCATTTGCAAGTGAAGCCTGGAGTGATGCTTCGGAAGCGCCCGCTCGAGCAAAGCTTGCACTTGGTTGCCCGCATGATTCGTTTGTTCATAAAAGCACACCTCCGACCATAGGTAACTTGAACAAATTGATCATTAAAAAGAACCCAGCAGAACAGTAATTAGTAATGTCGGGTATTTCGTAAGATTATTCTCAGTATGGGAATCCCAAAACACAGGTCCAGTTACTCAAGCTTCTAAATATAATCACCACAACTAATCTAGGAACCTGATTAAGAAACCTTGGGCCTTTATTAGGGCTCCTTATATGAATCCTACTTTTTTGGGGCTTGTGGAACCAGGGTTTGTTAATCAGGTTCCTACATCACCCGAAATCTCGAAGCCTTGGCTTGCAAACCCTAACCCCCAGTCCGTCTAGCAGGTCTTAAAGGAGCCCTGAAAGGTACTCCTAAAGGAAGCCTCAAAGAAGCCCTCTTCCCTCCAAAGAAAATTCAGAAGCCTAACATAACTTTGCTTTAAAGGAGTCCCAAACCCTATTCTCATGATTAAGGCCCCTACACTAAATGCTTCCAGAACCCCTTCAGGACGTAAACCCTGATTGCGTGAACGAGCCCTAAACCGTAAACCATTGAAGGAATCCGAAACACTGAACCGGCAGAGGAACCCTGAAAGAAACCCTGAACCTAAACCCTAAAACCTGAATGCAAGCCTGAAAGACCTTAAACCGTTGAAGGAACCCTACACCCTGAACCCTTAAAGAAATCCAAAACCCACACCCTGACAGAAACTCGAATCCCTAAACTCGAAAAGGAGCCTTCACTTAAACAAACCTTACCTACACCCTCCAGACCCCTTAAAAAGGTAGGTTGCTTGGGAAAACCAGGTTCTTGAAGAAAGAACGCGGTTCTTGTGTTTTGGGGTATCATCAGGGTGTTAGGTTTTGTTGTTCGGGTGTCATCGGGGTGTTGCTTGTAGCAGGAGTGCTATACCTGGATCAGCTGAAATTGAGCAATCAGGAGCTTGATTGGATGAAGATAGGTTTGTTTGGGAGTTCGGGGATCATCGGGGTATTGCTTGAAATAGGATTGCAATGCTTGGATGAGCTGAATTGAGCTCATTGGGTGGTTTAGAAGCTCGCTCCACACAACCTTTGTGGCTCGACGCGCCTGCTGCCGGGATCCGAGATTCTGGGCCGCGCACTGAGCAGCGAGTGCGTGAGCTGTCCACAACAGTTGCAAAGTCTTTATGTGTCGACGAAAACAAGTATGTATATTCATTTTACATTCTGATGCTCATGATCTGAAATGAGTTTACACAGTCAGCTGTCCTGGAGCAGCCCCGCACTTAGAAACTGCCTATGAGCCGCTGTCAGACTCCGAAGCAATGTGCGCTCGATAACGCGGCGAGGGTGAACTCGCCGGCTCAGTCGCGAGGGTCTTCCGATAAAATCCTCCTCGATTTGGCATGACCACATCAAGCCGTTCTGCACAAAGGCCGAAACTTCAGCCTGATCTTCCATCCTCATCATCAAATGATGTAGTCTGTGCAAATTAGGCATAAACATGAACAGCGGCAAGTTCTCGTCGAAAGCGCGCTTGGCGCAGCGGCCGTTGTACTTCAGAAAAGCCCGCCCATGTGCAGCTATCTCCTTTGCTCTCGAAGCGATGATCCACAGCTTCTCGCGGTACAGCAGCGAAAAAAACTTGTTGATTTTCCATGCTGCCTGCCATGCCAAAAACAACAAGGAATCCTCTGGGATCGTATCTCTGACCTGGTGGCAAAAGCAAACGAACCAACGTAGCAAACATAGTGTGGTGGAACCTTTGCTCCACCCGCCCATTGCTGGCTCTGTCGCATGAGGCCAACCCAGCGTGTCCTGGTTCAGTTTGCGGATATAAGGAAACTGACGATGACGGTGACACCAGTCGAAGAATGCACTTTCCATTGACTTGAAGCGGACCTTGAAACTGTCACCTGCAAAGGTGTACTGGAGAAGTGCAAGAGCGGATGCGACAAAGATCTTTCCGGCGCCGAGATGAAATCCGTGAAAGTAATCTTGGCCTGCGAAGCCGGAAGGGTCGGCCGGATCATGTGGCAACGTCATCAAAACAGGCGTTCTGTCGTAGGCAGGTAGAGCGTTCACCGTCTGCCGCCATCGAGGCTGACTGGATTCGAAATCCTCGAAAGGGAAGCCTGGCCTGTCGGCCAAACAAGCATGACATATCCCTGTTGGTGCTTTTTTGGACGATTCACGTTTGGCTGAATTGCCGAACGTCCGATTATAATTGAAAGCCTTGGCCAGGAAAGGCCAATCCCCCATGATGTTCACGACGCACACAAAAAACTTCTTGTTGTAGACTGGTGATAGCAGCCCTTCCTCAAAAAGGCTTCGCATATCCGGAACCAGATGTCCCAAAAGTCGTTGGAAATTCCCTGCAAGGGCATCATCGTACATGGCTCGTGGCAATACGGCAAGTAAGTACCGTGTAGCGAAAGTATGGCCAAGAAAGTTCATTTCCTGTGGCAGGAACTCGGCACAGGTAGGGCCCTTCTCAGAAGATTGAGAGCTTCCGCGCCCCAGGACAGCATGAAAAGAAAGCACCATCAATGCTGTTTTTTTGGCACTCCGGCCCTCGTCTCCGTGGATCAGGACCGGACAAGTCCGGCGAAGGTCCGAAGGCGAACGTTGAAACACTGGGTGCTGCGGAGCAATCCCACGAAAACGTTCCCAGTATAATTCCAGCTGTCGCTCACATCGTTCCTCGTTCGCTTCGTCCAAGCCACAAAGAAAGTACCATAAGTTCTTCTGAAGAAAAAGATTGATCCAGGATGACATGAATAGTATGGCGATCTTCATCTCTTGCAGCAGCGGCACTCGACTCAGGCGCACCCGAAGTCTCAACCGAAACTTGTCCCCCAATCTATGCATGTCCCTCTCAGCATCCCGTACGGAGCACTTAGCAACACGTCGCACTGAAGCAGTCGCTGCAGCTGGCATTTCTTCGACCACAGCCCGGGCCGACTCCACGGCCGAGCTGCAAGAGGCCTCGGCAAGGCCCAAAACAGATTTATGTTTGTGTCGTTCGTGGGAATGCAATACAACTTCGGCTTGCACAATAGAAAGCTCATGATGCAAAAGTACCTTGCCAGCAATGATCGATCACTTGCACATGAACATGCAGTTTTGACGCTCGTTCCCCATAGGCGAGAAACTTTAAGTTGCTGCGAGCTGTGTCTGGAAGTGACACACGCCCTTGCAGAACAGCCCCTGTTCAATCATCAATCAAGCAGGCTTGTGCTTAAAAGATCTGTACACAATGTATGTCATGTACACACTCACCGAGGCGGCCCCATCCGTCCTCACATTATCTCCGCCGGATCGAGTATTTCGGCAGCCAGGCGTGCCTCAGGGATGATAGGCGAAGCTAGCTAGGAGAGTCGGTAGTTTTAAGGGGTTGGGGTCATTCAAAAACAATAACTAAAATCGGCTAAGGCTCTTTGGTATTTGTTGATGAGGGCGGCTTCGAGCATTGCCAGGCTGAAAGGTTCTTCGGCGATGTGTAACAAACACATCTTCTCCCACTTTTCCCGCTGCCACTGGTAACCATAAATGGAATTGCCCCAGCGCCAGCAGGCATTGTGAGTGAAACCTATTTTGAAAATCATAGGAGCATGACGGTGTAGCAGTTGATTCACGATATGGATTGCGTGGCTGAGGATACCCCCTGCAGTAGTTGCCCGGGCAGCCAAGCGCCACTCTATGTCTGAATGCTCATCCACTTCCCGAAGCACAGACACTATCTCGTTGTCGGCCAAAACAGAATCTGAAACATGCCGTTCCCAGGCTGGTTTCGAAGCTGCTGAAAGCTTTGGGGGTGAAGGCACGACCCGTGCAGTGGGCAGGGTTGCGCAGGCCTTTGCAGGTTTAGCCTCGTCGACGCACGATGGGTCAGGCCACGGGAATGGAGCATCGTCAGCCTGAGTGCAATCATGGATATGGGGTTGCTACATGACGTTGTTCCTGTTACCTCAAGGTTACCTCGTTTGCAGCCGAAACACAGAGCGATGACATGTCAGAAGATCCCATAGCTCAAACTCCGGAGGCTCCATAATAACATTGTGTATGTCACTCCGAAACACCCTAAACAACTCTCCAGCTGAGTTTGAGCCAGGCCAGACTTTCACATTGCAGCTGAACACGACAGTTTAAACTTCAGCCTAGTCGGATTTCACAGAACATGTTCTGAAGGCTCGGAAGTGGCTGGCAGATGATGAGCTCCGGGCGCCGTCTCCGATCACACGAAAGCATTGCTTCGCCACTGGACCAGGTTCTGGCATGCGGGGCAAGATGTGTTCATATCTCAGGATTTGGTGTTTCTGGGACAGCTCACATGCAAACTTTGAAGCCACTTGTGATCGAAGTCTGTGTTTTCTGCAGAGCACAACTCAGCCGAACGTAGGCGGTCCCTAGGCTTCCGTCAGATCCTGAGTGCCCCAACAGGACCGCATCACTCCCAGGAAAACCAAAAGAACTCTCGGCTGAAGCATCCCAGGGCCGGCACATGTGGGAAGCAAGTCTTTCTTGTAGCTCCCCTACTTGTGTAGCTATATGGTTAGAATCAGTCACTATATATAGACATTAAATAGCCTAGAAGCTTACAGCCGTGTGCTCGTAAACCCGCGGCAAGGACCACGGCATCAGCAATCACATCACGAAGCTGTGGAGGCCAATTGCTTATCGGTTCCAGCTTCCCTCCCCATCTGACATGACTTGCGCAGCGGGCCTGCTTATCCTACTTTAAGTTAGATCGATATCCTAGTCACCCGGCCCGGGCAGGAAAGTACTCGTGCGAAGTGCACAACACAACACTTAGCATAGTTGCTGCACATACTATTATGTTCGCAAGTCATGCAAGGCGACCGCAGCGAGCTACTTCTTCGAGGTTTGCTTCGCTTTAGCCTTGGCCTTAGGGGCTCTGGATCTCGGGTTGGGTGCAGTTGCGCCAGGAGCAGGAGCACCAGGGGCATTCTTCCCGAAGAATTTCTTGGCATTCCTGAGTTGAGCGTGAGTATGGGAAGAGACGCCCAAAACATGAGACAACTGGCCCGACACTCTGATCCGCCGAGGTGCCGCACCTGCAACTCGCAGGCCGTGGCACGGCTGGCCCTGAAGGTGGGAAGGCCAACTGTGTGTTGGAGGATTGAAGGGTCTCGCTGGTAACTCGCTACAGAGGTAAGCTCGCGGCACCATTGTAGCAGATTTCATCTTGCTCTCCAAGTTGGTCCACCAGCTGCGTGCGACAGGTCACATAACATACGATGTAGCTTCAATGTGGGAAATCAAGATATGTTCATCTTCATGTGCTGGCGTGCAGGTTTCATAGCTTGGAGATTCACACCGTATGGGCACAGACAGAGAGGGCACATCAAACACCCGATTCCCGACAGCCGTATAAAGAAGTTAGCCTGGCCTCGGGTTGTAGCCGTCCACCTCCCCTTTGGATTTCAGCTCGTTCACCTTCTCGTATTCGCTATCCAATTTCTTGATGTGATCTTCGATCTGGCTGATCGACCTGACTCGTCCGTTCATGGTTCATGATAAGTAACTATGACATGATCACAGACTGTCTCCTGGTGTGACTTACTGCATTAAGCCGATCTAAGAAAACCACGCCGTGGCATCCGCACCGTAGTTGCAGCGAAGGTCCTTCAGCAACTGGCGCAGCTTGGTCGTCTTGGCGAGGATGGACTCCAGGAAGCGGTCCGCAGTGGCTTTTTGCTGGCAGGGTAGGAGGGGACATCGGGAAATGCCTAGTACGATTGTGCAAGCAACTCCTCGGTCTCTCTCTGTCTCTCCCTCGCTCTCACTCCCTCTCGCTCTCTCTATCTCTCTTCCTCTTTCTCTCTGTCTCTATGTCGGTGTTGCGAAGTGCACCTGTCGTGTGGTGCGGTGTGTCTGCGGGTGTTCGTGTGTGAAAGCATGTGTTTTCGTTTTGGTTTTGTTTGGTGTGTGTGTGTGGGTGAGTGAGAGGGAGAGAGAGAGAGAGAGAGAGAGAGAGAGAGAGAGAGAGAGAGAGAGAGAGAGAGAGAGAGAGAGAGAGAGAGAGAGAGAGAGAGAGAGAGAGAGAGAGAGAGAGAGAGAGAGAGATGGAAGAGAGAACAGAAGAGAAGGGCAGAGTAGAGTAGAGAAAGAAGAGAGTGAGAGAGAGACAGAGAGGGAGAAAGCGAGAGAACCAGAGATACAGATATGGATGCACATACCCACACACACATACATATACATATACATATACATATACATATACATATACATATACATATACATATACATATACATATACATATACATATACATATACACATATACACTACACATATACACATATACACATATACACATATATACATATACATCTACATATACATATACACATTCATCCATACATACATACGTACACAGACACAAAGAGGCCCCCGTGCACATACACCGACACACACACACACACACACACACACCACAGACACACACGCACACACACACACACACACACACACTCACACACTCACACACACAGGCAATCAGCCACACAGCCCAACAGTGACACACACACACACACCCCAAACCTATACAAACCCTTAAGCTTCTAGATAAGCCCTTTATAAACCCTATATAGGCCCTTTACCCCTGGATCCCTATAGCATCTGATAACATCCTGAAAATGTCTAAACATCTTGAAGCACTAACCCTCAGCTGGACCCGGGCCTCGTGCACAGACGCTTTCCCTGCACTTGCAGGCTGCTGGCGGTCCGGCACTCCGGAGCGAGCCTTGGCCTTGTCCAGCAAGTCGAACTCGTCCTTTTTGAACTCCATGGGTTCTTCTGCCTGTTCAGAAACTTAAGGATGATTTGGGTTTGGTGAGGGCTTTAGCTTGATTGTGCAATTGCAGGGATGGGGCCTTCATCTTCTTGCGCTGGCTCTGCTCTTGCTCGTGAGCATGAACATGCTTCGCAGTTTCTCTGACTGTGACATAGTATTCCTTGACACCATCATAAACATTGCTCCTGCTCAGATGAACAAGACCCGATTCAGTTGAACCCCCGTCCACGAGCTTTGCTAGCTAATGGCTGCATAAGAAGTCCTGACCAGGTCAGGGTTCGCTTCGCAAAGCTTCTTGGCACCGGCGATCCTCTGCCTACGGAACGAGGCAGCGTTGAAGCACCTGTTACATTCATTAGATTAACCCTGAACTTTCCGAAATAAGCTCCGGGCGGAGACCACTTGAGCTCGGTCTTCATCTCCAGTTCGCTATACCACCCTTCATCGACATGAAGGGTGAACTTCTTGATTTTTTTGATAATAAGCTCGAGCTCCTCGATGAACTTATCCTTGCAGGGTGGGAGGATGAACAAGTCATGCCAGGCGTGTTGTTGAGGGACTGCCATACAGCTATATCAGAGTCACATGCTCCTTGTTGTTGTTGAGATGCAACAGCAACTCGGCCATTTCGTCTTTGGCATTCGTACCGGAATTCCACTTGTCGATCACAAATTGCGGCACATTCAGATCTGTACGTTTGCGCTTCGGCTTGGTCATACGAGCGATTCTCGCTTTGGCCGCTTCCTGAAGCAGCTCCTGCAACAAGCTGTGTGAACTCCACAACAATCGAAAGGGTTGCACCAACGGACTGGGCTGCAGGACAGGCACACGTCTCGTCTTGGCTCGCTTGCGCTTCGATGGTCGTGCGGAAGCAGAAACCTTCTCAGCTGTGTCGGTGTCGTTGGGGTCCGAGGGTGGCTCATGCTCATCGTTGTTGGTCTCCTGCCACAGGAGACCAACAACTGACTTAGATAGGACGAGCATGCTATCACGGCAAGAACAACTATAATGACCTGTTCATCATCTCGCAGATCATGGTTCATCTCGGCCAGCTCTTCTTCCTGGCATGAGACATATCGTAGAGAATGCTGCCTGACTTGGGTAAACTTAAACATTGTGCTAAACACGACAGTGGGACCGTGGCGGGCACAGTCAAAGTCTCCATGGATTGAGCGCCATTACCAGCCTGCGGCACTACATGCGTGTGTCCCTTAACAAAGCATGCACAGGCGGATTCGACGGCCTCGGGCGACGATGATCGAGGAGGCGGGACCGGGCTCTCCGCTGGCTCGGCTGCCAAGCATCTTAGTGGGAAACAGGATTAGTTGGATCCATCTTCTTGGTTCAGACAATGCATATATCTAGACTGTGCATGGCTGTTGAAACGAAGTGCTCTGATCTTCTTGAGCAGAGCTTGCTCGTCAGAAAGAAGTTGCTCATCTTCCGCGTCCCGCATAACCTGCTCATATCCCACTGCCAGGGTCTGGCAGCTCCATGCCTTCGACATACGGATCGACGCGCAGCCTCGCTGGCTGCCTTGCTTCCACTACCGTGGCTTGAGCACACTGGAGTCCTTAAGCAAATGAAGCTGGTAAGTCCATCAGGCAACAGCAGGCTGCCCCGAAGCTTTATAGGTCGCTATTTTTGCATGGGGTTTCGCTCGAAAGTGTTCAGGTGACACAATCGGCCAGGCGGTGCCTAATTGAGGCCTTAAGGTTTCGCAGAAACGCCCGACCAGGCCCGAGAAATTGCGCTTAAGTGCGTCATAACTGGGGTTTATAAAAACCTACTTTTGCCCTACGGGTAATTATGGGTTCCCGACGCTTATTTATGGGTTCCCGACGCTTATTTATGGGTTCTCAAAAAGTGGGTTCTGTATGAAAACCAGGTTCTTGTAATGTGTTTATGGGTTTCCGATGGGTTTTTTATGGGTTCCCGACGGGTAATTATGGGTTTTGGGCTTAAAAGCCTACATTCTAACTAGTAAAAAGTTATAATAATTGCTTAGAAGCTATATAAAACCAACTTAGAACCTGTAGCCCTCTATAAAACCTTCTAATCCCACGGTCTCGGGCCCGGGGCCCGGACTATGATCGATTGGTTATGGAGAATTTATAACCCACGGTTTGGTCGGGAGCTTCTGCGTTCCTTCGAAACGACCCTGCCCTAGCTTCAAGACCTCTTTCTGTGTCTAGCAGGGAACAGGGCTTTCCACTCAGGAGGGATCTCTAGATGGGTTCCTCCTCTCATATAATCGTAGGCAGACCTAAGGTCCGCCTGCCGGAAGAGCCGCTGCACATCTGCTGGCGTTTGCGCTGCTTTAAAGGCTTCAAGACCCGATCCACTAGGCATGTCCGGTACTGCGGGGCAACCCATAGCCGACGACCTCAAATCCTCGAAGATGTCTGCCACCGCTTCAGCAAAGGGCGTTGGGTAGATCCTGAGCAGGCACAAATTAACTTAGTAAACAGAAAAACACTTTCTAGAAGCCCAAACCAATTAAAGCACTAAACAGGCTGTCTATTGCTACCGACAACCACAAGCACCCCTTGCAAAGCCTTCTACAAAGCCCCAACAAAGCTCAGTTTCCGAATGCCAGGCTACCCGAAAAGCAGGTACTAGACTAAGCTAGTGCATTAATTAGGCACCAAAACCCTACAAAACCCCGACTCTGTAGCCCATAAGCCGTGACGAAGTAGGTAGTTAACCCCGTACAGACCTACCCAACACCTTCCATTGTTATAGCTATAACTTAAACAGACCTATAGAAACCTTTACAAACCTCGCCCACTTTAATCTTCGATGCTCTTTGGCACAAAGGCAACTAACTTCAGGATTTCGTGCTAGATACCTATGGACATATCATGTATCTATCAATACTACGTGGGTATGGGATAACACAGTTAAACCAGTCCCATTACATGCAAAGAATGCTAGCAGTTAAACCCCAGCGTCTCTGTTGACTTCAGTTCCTTTGTGCCTGTAAAGGTAACGGTTCCATCCTGTCGGCGCTTCCTGGTTACAGTGATGGTTCTGCTCGCATACTTTCTTTGTGTCTTCAGTCGGTGGGTTTTCTTGAGAACTCCGAGGTCCAGCCGTCTGATATGGTGTGAGTTGCTGAATGCATACTGCCTCTTCGGACAGGTGCCGCCATACAGACCCATCCACCAGCCGACTCTCGCAACCTGGGCTTCACAGGGTTTCTATAGGGTTTGGGAGTGTATGTATCCTTGTGTGTATGTATGTGTATATGTATGTATGTGTGTGTGTGTGTACATATATATATATATACATACGTATCTACAGATAGGGTTTAGGGGACCCACATATATACATATATGTGTGTATACACACACACACACACTATATACTGATATGCACACACATATGGTTTGTTCTTTGTTGTAAGGATCGGAGTGAATACTCTGGTTTCGTAGGTATACTATACCAGGGCTTGAGCGGAACCCGGGGCAACGATGGGGTGACCTAGCGATGTGTGTGATTTGGGATAGCAAGGGAATCCATGCATGATGGAGTGCCGGGTCATGTGTTCTAGCAAGACGGCTTCAGAGTCGCCTGCTCGTTTGTGTTGTGCTGAAAGCACTGCAAGGCTTAAGCTAGCAACTTCACCCAAGGAAGATCACACGCGATTGTGGCGTCGGGACTCGCCGGCAACCAGGATAGACCGAATAACCTCGCAACCCCGTAGAACTCACCCGAAAAGCTTGGCAACCTCCGAAACCCAGCCTACGTCCTATACAAACTGTAACACTAAGATCCGTACGGCCCCCAGACCAGCTTGTCTCACCACCGCCGTCAACACAAATCGGAAAGTAGGATAAAACTCCAGCAGCGATCCTCCAGGCTGCTCGAGTATAAAGCAGCCCCCCAAGGCCACAGCCAGAAGCAGGAGACAGGAGCTCCTGAGGCAGTCAAGTATGTTTCTATGAATATATCTAGAGCCCTATCTTGTTTAGCCCCACTAGATCGAAATACCTTTTCGAGCCCAAAGCCCGGCCTTTCTAACATCATGTTAGCATCGCGAACTGAAGGTCGGCTTCGATCTCCCCATGGGTCACAAGCACATCGTTTCGATGTTCCCCTGTTGATGCTGGTCCAAGACGAGCATTTGATGCCCAGCCAAATTGCGAAAGCATGGGGTTTGCACTTCAGCAAAGCCACTATAGCTAGCCTTGGTCACAACATCAGGGGAGTAGCCAAAGCCACACAGCAGTTAGCTCAAATTTGATCACCAACATAACGACTTAAACAAGCATGCATGACAGTTGTTGCGTGCAGCTAGGTTTCACAAAGCCAGAGGAGCTGTTGATATCCATAAAATTGGATGACTGAGGACGTTCCGGCGAGGGGGTGTGATAGGTCTTGTCAAAACGGGCACCCGTGTAACCTTTCAAGCGCACCTTTGAAGTGCACCGAGCTGAGCCAGCATAGAACTCGATCCACTCCAAGGACTGCACATGGGGGGTATCATGGGGTTTTATGCAGGGGTACAAACAGCCACTCACAGCTTGGGCCGTTAAATTCTAGCTAGCTTATGCATGTATGTTTCCGCGCACGACAGAACGGCGTCTGCATCTGTCCCACCAGCCTCCGAGAGGTCGTAGAGGCCAGTAGTCCAGATCGTCAGCAGCACCAGAGCAACGAAGTCCTAAGACAGACACAGAACTCAGATAGATTTGGAAAGCCCCCGCAACAGTTTTCTTATGCAGAAATTGTGCAAAACTCAGGACATTCCTGCAGCGAGCGGCTTTTGGAGCCCCCAAGGTGAGGAGCTTGTACACCAGTGCATCTACCGGTACCATGTTCGGGCCGGGGACAAACACACCACGACTCTATCTGGTCTCAGGGCTGAGGGCCAGCAGCGTTCAACCAAGGGACACTTGAAGGCATGCGGAAGATTTAGTGCAAGAACACGCGAATTAAGCAATCAATATGCCAGGTTGACTACATTTCTGGTCTTTCTGGCTGCGCTTGCGGCGGGCATGTGCCTTGAACTTCAGTCGCGGCATGAAGGGACCTGGGCAGGATAGTGGATTGCAGTATATATAAAGGAGCGAGTGCATTCGTCTGTAATCTAGGGCACAACAGAAGACATGCGTGGCTCTCTGCAGCCCCCACTTTTTTCAGCTTTGGACTCGTAAGCTGGGTGCTGTTTCACTTCGGTAGCTGAGCAAGCCTGCTGTAGGATGTCCCGTCCCCAACATAAGACCTATATATAGCGTGGGTATATAACATCCACATTGAAAAGAACCCCGGCGGCTCCTCGATAACATATTGCCTCAGGCCCAGCACACAATTCAGTCTCTACATGATTCTGTTAAGGTCAATTAAGGGCTTAGAGGGTTAAGGGTTTATTGTAGGGCATAAGTTAGGTTTAATTCAGGGCTTGTATGGGGTTTATTGGGCATCCTTCTCGCAGCACTTGCTAGCAGCGGGCCACAACACTTCCCCGGTGAGGCCAGCTAGGAGCTTGCTACAATGCCATCAGGGCGAGCGCAGCACTGACATGAAGAATCAGCACTCTAAGTCCCCGTACTGAGCTATGCATCGACAGCTCCAGCAAAATAACTGGCAATCACGAAATGGATTGCTCGCAATCACTCTGATTGGTTTAAGTCATGGCACCGAGTTCCTTTGCCGCCTTGTACCCAGCAGCCTTCAAGGACAACACCTTGGGTGCAATGTCCTCGTGCCTCGGGTCCAAAATGTTCTCCTGCTCGATGAACCAAGCCTGGGCGGAGCAGGTGGGCGAGTCTGTGTTCAGGATAAGATTGCAGGGCGGGATACGACGACACAAAGCTACAACCTCTAAGCTACTAGCTGGCTCTGGCCCTTCCACACAATCCTTTTAGCAACCCCTATATAGCAAACCGACAAGCAAGGCGATGCGAAACGCTTCCACAACCAGCTTTGTTTGCGGCATTTAGTGTATATAAGCGTTACAGACAAGCAGCTAGCAAGTAGCGGCAGGCAATGGCGACCAATTGCGCGGGCTTGTTGTTAGCGAAATGGAAGTGGCCCACATTGCTTTTGCAGTCCGTGCCCTCGTCATCTTGATAGTAGAAAGTCAAAGCGCACTCCCACCGGGACCAATAGATATCCGGGGCCACATAAGTCCACTGGGGCTTCCACTCCTTGACCTGCTTCTTGAGCACCGGAAGCTCGGCTTCGGGATCCTCGAAGTCGTGAACGAACTGAAGCATGTAGTCGTAATCCTCCGGGTCGTGGGGCGTCTCGTCGGCGCTCTTGCGGTTCAGGCGGATGCTGGGTGCCACTCTGGCAGCACGGGGCTTCTTGGCATCGTTGTCTGCTTCCTTGACCTTGTTCTTGGATCCCTTGGGTCGCCCCCCCTTTGACTTGGGCTTCTCGGCGGGCTCCGCCTCATTGTCATTGTCCTCGTGAGACTTCGAGGACGAAGCCTTCTTCGAACTGGCTTTGCATTTCGGGCTGGCTTTGGCCTTCGGTGTCGCCTTGCTTTTCGCTGCGGCTTTGGCTTTCGGCGCGGATTTGCTTTTTGGCTTGGCGGCTGCGGCTTTCGGCGCGGATTTGCTGTTCGGCTTGGCTTTGCTCTTGGATTTCGCCTGCGGCTCTTGCTCCTCTTCCTCGGCTGGCGCGTGCTCCTCAGGTCCTTCCAAGTCCTCAAAAGAAGAGCGCGATCTGCGCATCTTCTTCAGGCGAGCAAGTTTGCTCTTGCTCGACTTGCGCTTGAGCTTCTTCTTGCTGCCCTGGTCATCGGTCGGGTCTGCCTTCTTCTTGTTCTCCTTGATCTTCTTTCGGAGTCCAAGCTGCTCTCGTCTTCCGAAAACCTGTCAAGCACAGATAGAGTGGCATGATGAAATAGCGAATATGGATGAAATATGTATAATGTAGACATATGGCTACATAACGAGAGAGAGAGAGAGATGTATATCTTTTGGGTGCCAAAAGCTAGAAGCTGAAGATCGCTGACCTGGTAGATTGTATAGGCATGACAGATAAGCTTCGACAACAACCTTGGAATGCTTAAGCAGAACCGCTGGCAGGCCTTCGTGGGAGGAGATGCTTCACCATCAAGCTCTGGAGCAGCCCCATCATCCTGCGCAGCATCATCCTCAGCATCATGCATCGGCTCCTCGACAACAGCTGGCAACTCTTCTTGAGCAGGTAGTGCCGGGGGTGCAGCACACGGTTTCTCTTCTTGAGCAGGTAGTGCCGGGGGTGCAGCAGGTAGTGCCGGGGGTGCTTCTGACAACTTCTCTGGCTTCGGTTCGTTGGGATGCTGATAGACCCAGCGCTTAGTGTCCACGGACGTTGTGCTCGGGAATCTCTGGGGCTTGTTGAACTCTGGGGTCACAGGAGTCTGGGATAGATCCATCCCCATGATGTCAAACGGCTGCGTCTCTGCATTATCCGTATCATAGCGCCCGATGCTGTTCTTGCAAGGAGGCGTCACCAACGCGGCTGCAGCTGTGGGCTCTGGACGGCCTCTCACCGGCTTCACAGTGGCTTGGCTTCTGGGTGGCAAAATGTACAGGATTGAGTACTTGACTTGCTTCAAGGATTGACATGAAACAATTAAAGGCCTGGCGAGGGTTCCTCCGGCTGCAAACTCATGGACGGGTCATACTTCGCTCGCTTCTCACGAATCCTCAGAACAGCCAAGATCTTACTTCGACAGCATTCCAAACACCGCCGTTTCAAGCCGATTCTTTTGTAAACACCATGCATGCATTAAACACACACGAGCTTGAATCATATGTAAGCAAGACACTTTCTCAGCTCATCCTGCAGCATCTTGAGCTGGAGCTTCTTCGAGCTGCCTTGGATAAGCAATTGTGAGATTCGTGGAATCCCGAAACCCATGCATGATGTAATATTTGCAACAGCTGTGTCAAAGCATGCTAGAGCCGATCGAAGGGCGACTCAACTCTGAAGGGATCACAGAAGCAGCGGGTGAGGGTAGCTCAAACACCGGGGAGGGAGTATTGGGAGCAGCGTTCACAGCAATCCCGCAAGAAGTTGGCACGGGGGCTGGAGGTTCCGGAGCACTAGCCACCCGGTGTTCAACAACTGTTGGCCTGGGAGCTTCGGGACCACGTGTTGGCTTTGGCCTGGGAGCTTCGGGACCACGTGTTGGTGGAGCTTCGGGACCACGTGTTGATGGAGCTTCGGGACTTGAGGCAGCTTCGGGACCACGTGTTGGCACAGCTTCGGGACCACGTGTTGGCATAGCTTCGGGACCACGTGTTGATGGAGCTTCGGGACCACGTGTTGATCGAGCTTCGGGACCATGTGTTGAGGCAGCTTCGGGACCACGTGTTGGCACAGCTTCGGGGCCACGTGTTGAGGCAGCTTCGGGACCGCGTGTTGAAACTTCGGGATCACGTGTTGTCTCGGGCCTGGGCCTGGGGGCTTCAGAGCGTCTCGATGGCCTGGGAACTATGGGAAAAGGTCGGATTGGGCTTTCGGGAGCTGGCTCGGTGACATGGGCTGCTGGAGGGCGCTCCGACGCTGGCTCGGGTTCGGGAACCGTTGGCCCGGGTACGGGCACGGATGCTGGCGCAGCAGCCAACATCAAATCTTCTCCCGGCTCAAAAGCTCCAGCCCCAGCTGGCTGACTGTCATCAAGCGCCACCTGCTTCAGAGGAGGGCTGATCGCTTCGCAAAAAAAATTGGCTGAGTATACCTTTTACATGTGCTACGGCTATGTTGAGCCTCCAGTGTTTCATCAGGCGAATGCTCTGGGACGGATTCTGCACGTTCCCGAATCTCTCGCACCAGGTCCTGCAAACACCATGAAGGAGAGGGGGCTTCACTAGACACAAAACAAACACAACAATCAGAACCGCACTTTAAAGGCATCCTCGAGGTCGGGGTTCAAAATCAGGCACATGTCTTGGAAATCCGGTTCCTAAGTTGGCCCAGGATGAAGACTGCATGCTCTGTCTAGATTTTACAAAGCAGCAACCTCGAATTTCGACTGAAGATTATGTAAATTCCCAGGATCCAAAGAAACCAGATGCTTTTGGGTCTTGCGCTTCACATGGCCCACGAGGTGACGAAGAGCCCATGCCTCGTCGTCGATTTGGCTGTCAGACGGCTCCTTGCTCACAAGTTGATAAACCTGCTGCACCGTTGATCGCAACGGCTCGATGTCCGGGATCTTAAGTTTGCAGAGGGTCATTCTAACCAACATGGGGGCGAGGAGATCCACATTCAAGATAGCCAAACGATTGCTTGGATCATAGGTCTGATCTTCGTTCCGAATCACAAGCCGGCCGTCTTCCGAACGCAATCTGTTCCGAATGTTTTCGAAGCCTTCCCACTCACTCGCCAGACCTTCAACCGAAAACCGCTCAGCCATGGCGAGAATCCCACTCTTGCCTGCGAAGCCGATACAGCTAAACAGAAAGATGCATAAATTACATCTATGAAGCAGTTCAATCCAGCAGCATCCCACTTCTCTGTCAGGGCATCGGGGCCCCGGCATCAGCGACAAAACGGCGGTGATCAGGGCCGTCACGACAAAAAAGAGCCGATGCGCTGCCCGAGCTGGGATCACACTTTCTCTGAAGCCCCTGATGTTCGTCGGAATCCCCTAGATTGCCCTTTATAAACCTCAACATAAACGCAAGAATTCCCGACATATACCATAAGAACTTAGGTTCTGAAGAAGAACCAGGTTTTACTGAAGAGAACGCGGTTCCTACGCAACTTCCTCTCAAACCCAGGTTGTGCACTAGCGACCTTCTTTTTATTGGGTTCCGGCTGCTGTAGGTAAACCCTACACCTCGAAACGCTACGAAAAGGAACCTTGACTTGA